CCGATCCGATCTCTTATATTATGCCCTTTATTATGCTTCACGAATCACGAGAGCGGGGCAAATTAGATAGTTATGATAATGTAAAGTTGTGTACGCAATTTAGTTGTTTTCACAAGAAACATCATGGCTCATGAGTAATGTAAGTAATAAGATAATGCTGAAACGCGGTCTTTTGGCAGCCAAGCAAGGAAACCTTAAAATGCATATGTGTGGGGTGAGTAGATTAGTGGAGAATAGAATTGGGATTAGATTAATTGCTGGAATTAGTTAGCATTGTCCAATTTAAGTAATACTACTACTAAATTCTAACCAAATTGCAAATTTCGACACGTTATAATGCCGTTTCCTGATCATCAGATTTCTGTCAAATCTTCCCCCAAAGTTCAGGAAATGGCATTTCAGAGACTTTAAATTCAAAAATTTTCCTGGGGGCATGCCCCCGGACCCCCCTAGACAAACCTTACACCTGCGCCGCTCGGCTCGAACCTCGTTTATCAAGCGTTACATTATGGGGGCGCATATGGTTGATAGCCCACTCCTCCCCCCCCCAGCAAAATAGCACCCAGCACGCCACTGTTTCCTCCTGTAGCAACACCGGATCAATAAGAGATGATCTTTACTGGACCTCTAGGGAGGACAGTTTAGAACTGATAGAGCTATCCAGTATAAATAAAGTTAGTTTAGTTTCCTCCAACATGTCGCTACAATGGATCAATAACTATTACTGCATCTCCAGAGAGAACAGGTTATTACTTTTCAAATATTGACTTTTTTACCTTCGGAGTATTTCTTTTTATCCGGAAGCGCATACAGTTCTCCGTTAACTTCAACTCTCGTTATGTCAGGAGTTGAATAATCAGCATTATCTTCATTTCCGGCATCAGGTGTTGAATAACCAGGCTCGAGCTCTGAACTAATGGCATTGACTTCTTTTCTTTTCATATCAAGGGTTTCATATCCGGCCTGTAGTTTGGAAGAAGTGCCAGTTATTTCTGTGTTTTTGACAACAGGCGTTGCAGCATAACAAGGGTTGGCTTCTACGAAAACTCGCTGGCTATTTGGCGTTGCATTACCGGAGTTTAAAGCAGCACCATTGACTTCTCTGCGTATCACATCAGGGGTTTCATATCCAGGGTCTGGTTGAGACGTAGCGCTTTCTCGCCTTTTTTGGTCCGGCGTTGCATAATCAAGGTTTGACTGAGCATCAAATATCTCGTTTATTTCTCTGGCTTGCACGTTTACATAAGTATTTGGGCCATGTAGATTACTGTCTATGTATCTGAACTGCTTCGTAGCCGGGACTCCTGAAAATAGAAGTTTTAAAAAAATAAGATATGGACTTAAACCAAAACTTATAAGGTGATATATTTCCTTGAACAAAAATAAGACATTTGATTTGAAAATTTTATACTGTAAAGCAACTGAAAAACTGCTAAATCTGTACATACCGTTCATTTTCCAGGAACTTTCACGACTTGGACCTCTTTGGCTGTTGAAAGTAATAATAATAAAAACGAGTAACCGCAAATGAGATTTGGCAATGTTTTTCATATGGGTGCGAGTTTCATGTCGAGGTATTGGGAAACGTGAAAATATTGTGGGGGAAATGTCATGTTCCTCGTTTGTCCATCCATCCTCAAATAAAGAACATTTATGCAGACATGAAATTTCTTCTCAGACAAGCAAAATTGTTTACCAACTAATTTAAGTGCGATTTTTGTTTCGCACACAATATTTTCTGAGTATGAAAGATGTATGAACAAGGTACAGCTAGTTACAGCCATTATTTTGTTCTCCAGTTACACTTCTGTAACATATTCTGTATAATAGTTACAGCCGGTATTTTATTCATGTTCAAGTTTAAAGTAGACAATTTTATCGCAATCAATTTACTTTACAGGCAAATGTTTCTAACTGATGTTTCCTGTTTTTTCAGGATTTGCGGAAAAACATGGCTATGAAATGTTTCCTGGTTTGTCCACTTTCGGGCAACATGGCTAGAAAACAGTGTCTCCTGGTTTGTCCATCTTTGGGAAATATGGCTTGGAAACAATTTTTCCGGGTTTACCCAGGTCCTTAAGTAATAAATTTCTTCATTTTCCAAAAGCCTTTCCTATACCTTCTCTTGCGTTTACAGAAAAACAATACAAAGATAACCAAGACTGTCAACAGTGCTACAGGTACCACTACAGCTATAGCAATAATTGTTCCACTTGAATCATCATCGCTGCTCGTTACTTCACTCGGAGGATTGGAACCAGCTGATGATGTTGGTGGTTTTGTCATGGAAGTACCAGTTGGGATGACGTATGATGTGGTTTGTTTAGTCGAGGATGTATTTGGTCCTACAGTTGCTACAGCAGTTGGGTTGGTGGGATCTATGTGTAAAATTTATTATTTAACTTTTTGCAGAGTTCACAGCACCGTGTAACCGTGTAAAATGTTGGCAAATTTTTGAACAAATTACATTCTCGACACAGTATTTCATCACTCCAGTTTAATGTTTTCATCAGGGTAATCAAAAGTGCCCGCCGAGTATCTACGGAGTAAACCAATGGGTTTACTACAGTCAAACTAGGACCTTGCTTTTCATACGCGGTTGAGGGGAAATAATAATCACAGAGAACGGCATAAGATAATCGTAGAGATGAAGAGTATTATAATATTAGAGAGTTTGCGATTCACGACGCGGCTGGAGAAGACGCGTTAGAAAGGCTTGGTAATTAGCGCTGCCAACGTGTCTTGTGTAATTCCAACGCGTAGTCGACGATTCTACGACTGAATTTTGTCAATTTCACGTTGTGATCACTACGCTGCGAATTTCAAGTGAGTGTCGAATACTTTCACATTGAAAACGTGAATTTAAGTGCTTAACTTTCTATTTTTGATGGAGTAGTATCTTTGATTACCATAATTTTTCCGCCAAAATAGACGTTTTATGCTAGCGCGTTGTGTTTCGTAACGTAGGGAACATAGTAAGAAGACACGGCTTGGACCGCGCTAGTTACCTGCAAGCATTTCTAACTCTCCCCGCGTCGTGAATCGTAGGCTCTCTGTTCTTTTCTGCAGCCGTGCAAATGTTCGAATATATAATGTTTAAAATGCCTTGCCGGCTGATACACGACTACTATTACATGATCATTAAAGAATAAAGTGAATTCAAATACAAATGGATCTCGTTTTAACTGAACGAATCTGTTACCTGCTGCTGCCCATGATCCAAGGACCTTTGCTCGTAGGCAATAATGTCCATAAGACCCAGATTGAAACTGGCAGTTCAGGTGCAACGTAATTATTGTGCCTTGCAGATTTGGAACTGATTTTTTCCACTAGAAAAGGAAAAAGAAATTAATTTTAAACAAAGCTAAAAAATAATATGAGAGTACATTTTCATACCTTAAAAGACAATGTTTTGTTTGAGACATTCAAATCAACGTAAGATTGATTCAACCATGGCGGTTCCATTTCTGTAGCGTTGTCTGGAAACTTTGTCTGCGCTTTCAGCAGGGAACAATTTTGCAATTTGATATTTTGGTTGTCGTCTCTAAATTGCTTGGCCGGTTCTTCGTGGTTGTATGGTATAAGTTGAAAAGGCTTTAATTCACAGTCTAAGGATCCTATATTTAAATAAAAGATACAATAGGATCGACTATTTGAGCAGGTTGTTAACTCGTGTCGTTCATTCTGGTACCAGACCTATACGATTTGCAAGGTGTTTTTCCAAATTACATTGTATTATATGAATGAGGCTAAAAGAGTTAGGGTGTAGCCGAGTCATGCTTATAGGTACTATATGGTTAGGATGCAGATTGGTATATTTCACTAAATTGATCAGGAGGTAAAGAATCAGTCAACGCTCTATGGAAAATCGTGAAATTTCTTCGGGTATTTTGGCGCTAATCTCAGTTGAAGCAAGAATAATAACTATACGCTCCCCCACGTAAAAACGTTTCGCTCAAGTCTACAATTATAAAACCTTTACACGATACCGGATTCGCTTGTCACGACATCAAGTTCACCACTACATTTCAGGAATATATTAACATATAAAAGTTGCGATAATATGACAAAATAAATGCGAAAACTGTTGGGTTGTGGTTAGGCATTAATCCTGAATGTCGTAAAAAGCGAAACTGGTATCGTGAAGTTTAGTGTAACTGGGTTCTAAGCCTGCGAAGCATTCCAGGGAAGTTGCCAAAACCTTAAAGACGATGGTATTACCATAGCTATAAATACATGTGTATAAATATTATCGACATTGTGAATCGTATGTCAGATAGATTTAAAACAAAAAACTTAACTCCACGAAAACTTTAATAATTCAATTAATTAAGTCGTGGTACAGGAAGAATATGAACAAGTTTAAATGTTCGGCTGCAAAGTTAACTAAGATTGTAAGAACTCACCAAATCCAGTGCGAATATTATCATTGCCTATGCAACCATACGCCTTCTCATTTTTAGATTCTATAGCAGGATTTCGAAAATTCGGCCCAGATTCTCCGCATAAACACAGACCACTGTCAGGCTGACATGTTGCAGAACTTTGCGTACAAATACTTGTATCATTCGTACAACCGTATTTCCCAATACGAAAGCTGTCGGCAACATTTCGATTGACCAAAACCACTTCACAACCAGTCACAGCCACTTCGCACAACAAACAAATAACCCACGCTAACACCACTATGTATTTTGAAGACATATTCATCAAAAACCGGTAATCACTTGGAAATAAACACGAATTCTTCAAGTACTTTTTACCAAGATTGATCTTTCATCCATAACAGAGATATTGTTTATTATAAAATGTTTCTGATCTTATTTGCATGCGCATTGATAAACACTTTTTCTTTGCAGTAAAACAGTATGATATTAGAGTTGTGACCACCCATAGTTATAGCCTATCGAAGGGAAGATGGCTGTGAAACTCATTATAATAACAATATAACTCATTATCTATGTTGGTCAACGTTTATTCATAAATCTGGTCCTTCACCGTCACGTGTGTATTGTATTTTTTCCCTACTAACTAATAGCAATGTTTTAGGAAAGTTACCTATCAGTGACTCGAACAATATAGGGTATATTGGAAATTGCTATTGGTGGATATGCCGGTAAAAATACACCAAGGAACAGTAAAACAAACAAAATCAAAACGAGCGGCATTTCCCATTGCGAGTAATTCAAAACAAAATATCAGCCAACCTAAACAATTTTCCGTGTATTTGTAATTTCACGCAAAATATTGCTGGAATATCTTAGGCTCCGTCCAATATATCTGTTTCCACGCGATACGCCCCTAATTATACGCTTTTGAGCATATTGAATTGAAACACAATTAACGCATATATTATAGGGTAAAAGATAGTCGTTGGATACCTATAACGACATTCACTAAACCCAACCCAACCGTAAACTAATCCTGATTCTAATATATCTAACCCCAACTCTATACTAATCTTAAATCTGACACTAATCTAAACTTGATGACTTTTTTAACACATTCCACGGATGTCGGTTTCCACTGAAATTTAGCTTAGGTGCATGCCTCTAATACAAATATGGTAAAAATTGCCGGTATAAGAAAACAAAAACAGAGTATAATAATACCTAAACTGTTCTTCCTGTGTTAGTATAGGAGGAAACCTAAACTAAACGAACAAAGCTATTTTTCTTCATGTAATGTTGTCAGACTTTGATAGTCATGGGCATCGCTCTGTAAATTATTTCTCCTCAGAGGCTCATAATCCGATAGCTCTTCGTATTTATGTTCTAACAAAAGAAAGACACAAGCAAAAATTAATTGTGTATGGATTGTCCACTTCATTCTTGTAATATGAAGAGCTATTAAACTAAACTAACTTTAATAAAAGTTCTTTGTATGTTTGCATGTCAATAAAACATACAAACTAACTTTATTTATACTGGAGAAGGCACCTAGCAAATGGCATTGCTAAACCTCTAGAAGAAACAGTTTAACACTGATAGAGCTATCCAGTATATAAATAAAGTTGGTTTAGGTTTCCTCCTGTAGTATCAGTGCACAGCACCAATAAGAAATTATCTTTACTGCATGGACCTCTAGAGAAAACAGTTTAAAACTGATAGAGCTATCTAGTATAAATAAAGTTAGTTTAGTTTAGGTTTCCTCCTGTAGTAACACTGGATCAATAAGAGATGATTCTTACTGGACCTCTAGGAAGAACAGTTTAGAACTGATAGAGCTATCTAGTATAAATAAAGTTAGTTTAGTTTAGGTTTCCTCTCCTAGCTGTGCCATTAATACGGCATCTAAATATTGATCCAGTGTTACTACACTGGATCAATAAGAGATGATCTTCACTGGACCTCTATAGAAGAACAGTGTATATATAGAACTGATAATAGCTATCCATGCCGTATAAATAAAGTTAGTTTAGTTTATAGGCTTATTCCTTTAGTAGCTATATAGCACAGCATCACAGAGATGATCTTTACTGGATGTCATATATAGGGAAAACAGTTTAGAACTGATAGAGCTATCCAGTATAAATAAAGTTAGTTTAGTTTAGGTTTCCTCCTGTGGTAACACTGGATCAATAAGAGATGATCCTTACTGGACCTCTAGAAAGAACTGTTTAAAACTGATGGAGCTATGCAGTATAAATAAATTTAATTTAGTTTAGGTTTTCTCCTGAAATAACACTGGATCAATAAGAGACGATACTTGGATAGCTCTATCAGTTCTAATTAACTGTTTTCCCTTGCCAAATTTACCTGACAAATTGCTGAATCTGGCTGATGGGAGGGACTCGTCATTTGAAATTCCTTCATTGTGTATGCCTGCACTCTCTGTCACTACTTCGTCATATGTGCCGACATCTTCTCTTGTGGCTGTGGTTTTTCTACTTTGTTCATCAATATTTTGCATTTCTAAAATTTATCAAGCAATATTTTGCACACGAAATAAACCCATCTCATATTTGTCGTGTTGCCAACCGGCTCCAATTTAAAACTGTTAGGAATTATTCCCTGCACTTCAGAGTTTTCTAGCCGTCCCTATATATACTCTATATATAGCTATATAGCTGCGGTTTTAGTGATGATAATGTTCTAACGGAATTCGTATCATCAGTAAGTCATAGCTGTTCTTCTATATGATCGTAGCTGTTGTTGAAGATATGCTCTTTTCGTTAATGGGAAATATATATTCTGTATACATTGCGAGGACAAAGAGCTGCAAATGGTCTAAAGGCCCATCACTATAATTCCTCTGATATAGATGTCTTAAGGGATGGCTACTTCACTTGCAAAGCCAAATAGCAACAGCAGAATCCTGGGGATTATTAAATTAACCATCTTGCAAAACACATCTATTCGTAGAATATAATCTAAAATAATAGTAACTATATATACTATTTGTATTAAATTCAAGAACATTGCGTGCATTTCTTATTTTTTGAATTTATTATCATGACGTTACCCAATCTTGCTTGCGAATTGTTGTTGTCTTGATTTCTAAAATGGAAAAGAATATTAACACTAAATCATCACAAATTGTTCACATTATCCATGATATATTTTTAAATGGGTTTTATGCATTGCAGTGAGGGTAGAGGAACTAAAACTGAGATTATATAGAGACATAATAAGACTTAACCATATAGATACTAAGATACATAAGGGACCAATCATTATTTATGGTGGGGGGTGGCACCGAAGAGAAAAGGGTTGGGTAAACAAAATTTTGAGTAAGTAAAAGGTTGGGTAAATGAAAAACAAAACAACTCAAGGGTTTGGGTAATAAAAATTTATTGTCATTTCAAAAACAAGACTCACTGTCAAAATATTGTTGACTGAAAAGCAATGTCAACAGTCATTTGTCAATACAATATGTGAATCAATCAGAGTCACTATCTTGATCATTTTGACAAAACAAATGGCGTTTCCAAAGAAAGTACATGTGCAGCCAACATGAAACTTTAGACTGCAGAAAATTTCACAAACCGTTATCAAACTCATGTCACAGAAGTGCATGGTAAAGTACATCCGTGACAACTGATGGTAGCTTTTTGTAACGTTTTTGGCCAGGGGTGGGTATTTATTTCTTAATTGATATTTGTGGTTGGGTAAACAAATTTTTGTCTTTTTAATAGTTGGGTCAGCAAAATTTTTGCCACGAAAAACATTTCTCTTCGGTGCATGCCCCCCCCCTTCCCCTCCATAAATAATGACCGGTCCCTAATAATAGTTGAAGGCGAGCCAGGCAGACACACCGTAGCGCTGGGGACAAAAGAAATGATAATTGAAGAGAAAGACCAAACGCACAACGGAGGCGAGTGATGCACCGATAAGGAAATTCACCGATATTCCGATAACCGATCTGGAAGAATCGATATTTTGCCGATACCGATATTCTATATCATTTCACCAAATTCAAATATGACATCATGACAGTTCTATTTTAATACTTTGGAATTTAGGTTAATCAGTCAATTCATTTGTTTCTAAATACTGAAAATATCAAATGAAAAGCTGGAAATGCATGCCACAAATTATTTAATTAAACTAGTATATTATACGACTGTTTATTTGTAATAAAAATAACGATTGAACTGCAACTATAACCAATCATTAATATTTAATAGCAATTTTTATTATATAAGTATAAGTAGTATAGTGCTTTATAAAGATTTCGAGCACTGATAAAACTGATAATCTCACATGCATGTGAGATTATTTATGATAATTTCCCATGTGAAAATTATCGCTTTTCAAAGACTGTCCTTTATATAATAAACAGAAAAATACATGGGTGCTTGGAAATACCAGATTTATTTGGTATTTCCGCGCACTCATGTTAATATTATTCTCTATATAATATTGGTATCAACAACAAAATTGCCGATACCGATATTTCTGTTTTAGTACCGATAAGTACTAAAATACGAGCAGCTGACTTCTGCTCAGTCTGGGACTGAACGACGACATGAAGACGCGGGTTTAGGTCCTATCTTAAATCCTCTCGTGCTTCTGATTGTTTTAACTCATTCTGCATGCTTGTTCGCTAAACACCACATTGTCAGGGGCGCCGGAAGCAATGTGAAGCGGCGGGAGCAGCCATTTCAAAAGGGCACTTGCTTCTCAGCCATCATTTGGCGGCAATATTTGTTAAAATTTTATCGTATGGATACCAGATTACTTGTGGCTATTGTGGGTCGGCAAACTTCGACATTAATTTTGAACAATTTTATTTGCTGCACCATGTTAAGGGCGCAAAATAAAATCAGTAAACGGACGTATATTGCCTGATTTAGCTTTAATCAGGGGGCGCGGAACCGGGGGGCAATCGGGGAATGTGCCTCCCCACTTTTTAAAAGGAAAAATGCCCTTTTTGGGGGCTAGAAAGAAAGTGCTCTTTTTGCAGTAGTAAAGACTCTGTAAACTAGGCCATTTCCGACGTTATATAGGGACTCCATATTTTCAAACATTTTTCGTTCGGCTCGTGAACGACATAAAATCGTTTGATTTTGATCATAATTATGAAAAGTGATTCCGCGGCCTCTGGCATTAATTTTACTGGTTAAAATTAAGCAAAGATTGCTTAAACATTGCTTAAAAATAGTTATAAATTGCAATTCATGTGACTAACGCACAAATTTCGAAGCGCAGTTCTGGTGAAAAAGGGCAACCTGTTGCCCTAGTGCCGCCCCCGCACTGTTTTGGCAACGGGGGCAGTTGCCCCCGCTGCCCCCGTGGCTCCGGCGCCCCTGCACATTGTGTATAATCCGCACGGCGACTTTACGGACCTTTGCATTTTTTTTCTTAGCGACACTACAACAATTCCAAGAGCGACGTTGACCACAAAAGAAATGGAAAATAAACCAATAAATATTGTCATCAAGTCTAAAAACGTCTCATCCGAATTACTGGCGCTGGTGGTTGATTCTAAAACGTAAAAAATAGTAAAATTTTTATTGTCCCATGATGACTTTTGTATTTTACTCTGACCAAGAACTTGCACTCAGATGAGAAAGAAAAAGTTTGTAGACTGCGAACGGTTCCTCTTTTTCGTGGTTTAGCTTCTCAGGCGTCCGAGGGAAATGGAGGAATTGCCGACAACAAATATCAAGAAACGAAATGCGCCTAGTTTTCGCTCTTCTCATGTCGGTTCCAGCTTTGCATGAACATTACTTATATCCAATTAAATGTATCCAATACTGTAGGAACCGTTCATTTAAACCTGTCATGTTATTTATAAAATCAACATTCAGTCTGGAAATAATTTATAGCATGAGGGAAACACAAAGAAAAATTATAAGCGTGCAGTCGTATCTTTATATATGAGATAGAGATTTCTCTTGATTTACATAAACTTTAACTTTGATTTTCTCGACTTACACAATGTAACTTTTGATTGAAAATTACTTCGCTAATATGTCTTACTAAATCGATCGTTTTTGAAGCAATTTAAAACATTCGCAGTGCGTGTTTTATCAGACCTAACGACACTCGGCTTCGCCTCGTATGTTTATATCTGATAAAACACTGATGCACATGTTTTAACTGATAGTACGTTACTAGCTACATATCAGATTTGATTGACACTCAGGCACATCGATTTCGACCAATAATGGGAATTTTGCGTTGTGTGGGTAACGCGTATATCAGTTTCGTTTCTTGGTGTGTCTAAGAGTTTGTGTCGCGGTCTAAAAGTTTGTGTAATTCTCACTAATTTACGAGAAAACAAACGCAAAGAAATCATGGCCGTGAAAGGTTATGTACAACATGTATAACTGATACAAAATCCTGCTGGTTTACATTAATTTTGAGTTACTTTTCTGAGTTTTCACACCGAGTATCAGTTATGCCTTTAAGATTATTGAAGAATATTATGTTTCCATGAAGCAAATCTCAAATTATATACAACATGGCCGCTGACACTGTATAAAACGTCTAACCGCTTAGTTAAACCTTTTAACCGTAAGCTATAATTTACTGCTAAAACAAGGGCATGATATGAGTACAAATAAAAAATATCTATACAAAAAGAACAAACTAATAAACTTTAAGAAGCTAATAATCAACATACCTGGTTCTGTTGGTGTAACTGTTACTGTCACTGTCACAGATGAAGTTGTTTTTGTTGTTATCTGTGAAGATTTAGATTTGCTGGGAGTTACTCTTGGCTCGTTTGTTGTAGCGACAGCAACTATAGACAAAGTGAAGCGTTTATATAGACAGTATAATTAATTATACTGATGTACAGCCATGCAAAGAGGAAAGATAATATATATTGCTAATTGAGATCTACAGTGGGAATTCTCGGTTAACAAATCATCTACCTATACTATCCAGGCTCGTGGTTGGTTGATTATAACAATGAAAGACAATAAAACTATAGAAATCGTCTTTCTAAAGAACGAGTCACGAACAATGATCATTTTTGTTTCTGATTTGTTTCTGAAAGCCAATCACAAAACATGATCATTTTAGTTAATATGTCTTTACCCACAAAAAACCGAAAAATCTTATACGGATCAATAAAAATTGTACCCTTAAAATAAATTTCGAAATAAACAAGTGGGCAGTCTCTATAAAACACTTATACACGTGCTCCAATCGACTTATACAAATACGTACGTACGTTACCTATTTATATGCAATTATACCTGCTTTCCATGTCCCAGGAATCTTTGCTCGTAGCCGGCAAGGTCTTAATGCGTAAGCCCCTGAGCTGTTGGAACAGTTGAGATTGAATGTAATTATGGTGCCTTGCAATTCTGGAACTGATCTTTTCCACTAGACAAGGAAAAACAGAACTATTTATAGAAAAAGTGGTTTTAAAGAGGAAACGCACGAGATGAATATCCTGATCTTACTTTGAAATGCAATGTTTTGTTTGAGACGTTGAAATGAACGTAAGATTTATTCAGCCATGGCGGCTCCATTTCTGTTGCGTTGTCCGGAAACTTTACCCAGGCGTTATGTAATGCACATCTCTGAAACATGTACTGGTCGTGATAGCTGAATTCTGCACCTGATTCATTGTGGCTATATGGTATCAGTTGAAAAGGTCCGAATGCACAGTCGGTGCTTGCATTCCCTGTAATGGCACAACATGTTAGAATAAATACATATATCCTGTATAGTGCACAAAATCTCAAAAGGAATCGACCTTTTCCGCAGCAACATTCTTACGGAAAAAGAGGTGGGGCAAAAAATTTTCCGGCCCACAACATTTTAAATTTCCTTCCCCCGTCGACAACTTTTTTGGTAAAATATTTTTCCGGACAATAACATTACAATTGCTTTCGTAGCACTTTTCCCGATTTCCGGGTCACTTTTTCCGATGCTTCACCACGATGATTCCGACAAGATTGACAATTTTCCGACGGGTCTCAAAATGAAGCTATATAATCAAGGATTCCTTTTTTATACAATGCATTTTATCAGCGGGGGGGGGGGCAACATTTTGCTAGGGTGGGGGGGGGGGCTCGATCCCAGCCCTTATTTTTAGATTTACAAAATTCGACATATGCAAATATTAACCGATCAATTGCATTTAGGGACTGTTCATTATTTATATCCGGGGTTGCTACCGAAGAGATATGGGTTGGGTAATCAAGTTTTTGACTAGCTCCTGGGTTGGGTGAAAAAATTTATGACCGTCTGTCAGCTATAAAATAAAACCAAAATTACCGTGCATTGTAAAATATGAAGAAAATACCATGAAGAAATTACCATGAATTGGAAAATATGAGGAAGGACTCTATCATTGATCAGCAGGAACGCGATTGCTTTGGCACACTCAGTGAGTGTGAGTGTGTGTGAGTATTTAGAATTTAAGTAACTTGATTTCTGTCACCATAATCTTATGTGTTTAACACACATTTTTGCTGATAGATGGCTTGCATTGTATTTGAATTGCATTGCATTGCATTTTTGCTGATAGATGGCTTGCATTGTCCAATTCACAAATAATAAAGCTTTTTTTGTTTGGATCCTCATCACTTTCTGAGGATGAAAATTTTCAAATCTTTTACCACGCCCAAAATTTTATAAAAGAAACAAAACGTTTCCATACTCAGGAGATTTAAATCTGTTTGCAGTTCATCTTTCAGTATTTCCTTGTGTGTTATTCTCTACATAGCTACTGATTGTATTATTGTCTAATTGATTTGTGTGTGCGTGTGTGTGTGATTTGTAAGTATGTAAATGTGAAGTGAGCCCCCTATAGATGAGCAACCAGTAGCTCTTGGGGCAAACTTCCTTTTTGAATTAAATATTCATTAAACAAATTATGAATTACAGTAACACATATATAGGTTGGTAAACATTATTTTGACCAATGTTGAGGTTGGGTAAATAAAAAATTTGCACTGTTTTTCGTTTCTCTTCGGTACCAACCACAGGTATAAATGATGAACGGTCCCTTACTGATCAAAGCTCAGTCAAATGAGAATAGGAGTTGATGAGAGTTTGATAAACAAATCTCATCCACTCTCATTAACTTTGAGCTATTCAGTTTTAGCTAGGTGCGAATCATGCAAATCTTGTTCTTGTTTGACCGGGGCATCAGCTGGAGTTGACAACACTCTCATGCAAACTTTTGCTTGCCAATCCCTATTAACTCTTATCCTATAGGTCTTGTTTGACCAGAGCATAAAACTAGAAAGATATTGATATGATATTGCGCTCTTATATTTTTATCACACTCCTATTTTTACTGTGCATCATGCAGTTAAAATGCTTAAAAAAGATTTTGATTCTTCTGTTTTATAGGTCCGTTCGAGGAGTCTTCGTAGCTAAATTCTACAACTGGTCCATATGGTATCAATTGGAAAGGCCTTAATGCACAGAAAGGGGTATCTACATTATATGTTTCAAACACTCGTTAATAATTCATAAGCTTATTGGCAAATCATGTCTATCATAATATGTCACGTGCAGTGGCTTTAAACCTGATAAAACACTCCTAATTAGTATTCTTTATATAAACAATACTAATAAGGCAGTATCTATTGTAGTCGTGTCCGCATCAGTATTCTTTATATAAAGAATACTAATATGCAATATATCTATTGAATTTGTAGTCGTGTTTGAAGCCGTTTAATAAACTCGCAGGTCGTGTTTTATTAGGTCTAAAGCCACTCGCGCTGCTCGCTCGTGGCTTTAAACCTAATAAAACACTCCTGCTCGTTTATTAAACAGTACTTCGTAAACTAAAAACTTTACTTCAAACACTCATTAATAATTCATAAGGCTATTGGCAAATCATGTCAATCATACTATGTCACGTGCATAAAGACGCTTATATATACCTGATAAAATTAGTATTCTTCATATAAAGAATACTAAAAAGACGGCAGCTATTGTAGTCGTACCGCCTCGCATTTTAAATATGATAAAACACTCCTACGCGTGTGTTAAATAGTATACACAAAAAATCATTCGTAATCCATGAGGAAAAGAGACAGGAAATCGCTAGTGCGTCAGTGGTTTTACGTGTGATAAAAAATCATGCTCATTTACATTTTCTCGGCTTAGACAAGGTTATTAATTTTAAAATTACTTGCCAATAAACTCATAAGATGGGTCGTTTTTAGTTAAGCCATTCAGCACACTTGCAATTGGTTCATTGTTTTCTAGTTTTCATTATCCTTTTATACTTCTTTCCACCGACACCGTTGTATAACAAACTGCATCGCGGTTATGTAGCCAAACACCATTATCTCATACCTAGCGTATTAGCGGCCTATTGTCTACGAGGAGGTGCGTTCAATCTCGAACCCACCTGCTGAGTGCCGACGTACATGGGCGTACCGGAAGGAAAAAATTAGGGGAGCGGAAACAAATTTGCCCGACTTTTCGGGATTTTGCCCGACTAGTACCGAAAAAATTTTTCCCGGAAAATTGTTTCGGCGACGAAAAATTTCGGCCAGTGTACCATTTTAGGGGTCAAAAAATTTTTCCGGACATACCAAAATTTTTCGAAACATCACTAAAATTTTCAAAAAAACACGAAATTGACAGAATTTGTCCCATTTATTTTTATTACAAACCAAAATTGCCCGACTGTTGATCGAATATTGCCCGACTGCCCAAAAAACTGGGGGGCTACCAGAATTCACTGACAACAACAAATTTTTAGAAATGTCAGTGAAAGGTCTTCTAGGTTAATAATGGATTAAACACTTTATATAACCACGACAAATCCCAACACGGATAAGTTGTCGATACAGACATACGTGTCACAATACATTATTTCACTGCCATTCATTACGATGACTGGATTTCGATGGTTTTGTATTTTAGAGTTGAAATTTATCATAACCTACTAAATAGTAAGCAAACTGTATGGTGACATTATTGACATAACGCATGCAAGAATTAAAACACTTACCGGTACCAAAACGAAGCATTTCATTGTCGATACAACCATACGAGTCACCATGCACTATTTTACTGCTACTCATTTCGATGACAGGATTTCGATAGCTTGGTCTTCTAGAGTTACACAAACACGAACCATCAGACTGACATGTTGCGTTACTTTTACAAACACTTGTATCATTCGTACAACCATCTTTCCCAACACGGAAGCTGTCTGTAACATTTCGATTCACCCAAACCACTTCACAACCAGTCATAACCATTTCGCACGACAAATAAATAATGCACGCTAACACCACTGTGTATTTTAAGGACATATCTGTCAAATACCGGTAACAACGTTACTAGGAAAGAAAACACGATTTCTTTAAGTATTCTTTTTGACAAAGAGGTATCAGTCCTTAGCAGACAGATTGTATATGATAAAATATTTCCTGTCTTATTTGCATTTATATACACTTCTTTTCTAAAAACAAAACAGCATGATATAATATTCTATTTCATTATTATTCATTTTATTCATTTTATTCACAAACAAATATCTCAAACATAAATGAAAACGAGCACTGCTCATTGTGAATAATTTAAAGCTCAACTAAAAAAAACCCTTTTATTTGTAATTTCGCGCAAAATATTGCAGGAATATCTTAGGGAGTTAGGCTCCATCCATTATAGCTGTTTCCACCGATGTGTTTTAAAAGTTGTGCTCTTAATTGCATTGCGTAATTGCGTTATGTAACATCCTCTTAGCTTCGCCAAGAGGGTATCCAAGGTCTCGTGTCACAAAAGCTAGTATATCATGCTGTTTTAGTCTAAAGAAAAAGTGATATGCAAATGCAAGTGAGACAAGAAATATTTATCATACAAATTGTCTGCAATCACATGAGCGCAGCTCGATTGTTTTATATTTGATAAAGCGTGGACTGGGAGCTGGGAGTGTTATGCAAAATGGCTTCAAAAAACGGATCCATCTGATGAATTCATTGGCGAAGTAGTTTTAAAACTAAATGTTGTCTAAACCGAGAAAATCAAAGCTAAAGTTTATTTGAATAAACATAATTTTATCACATATAAAACCGACATCGACACGGCAGTAATTTCTTTTGTATTTTCCTCATGAATTATAAGAGATCGATCCAAGCATATAGACATCAAGTACTACATTATTAGGAGCGAATTGGCAATGGTACGCCAGGTACGATGAACGTCGACTATGCATGTCGCAAGCGACCATATTCGCCAAACCGGCAAGTAAAACTTAGTTGTAATTTTCACTTATAGATGTGACAATATACAGGTAATTTGATTACGTAATTGGTTAAAAATTATTCGTGTTTTAGTACTAGTTAAAACGTGACCAGCCAATCTTTATCTGATATACAAACTCGAGTCGAAGGCGAGAGTTTGTATGTCAGATAAAGATCGGGTTCAAATGTTTTAAGGTTACAGGACACCCTTTTTGGCGTTTTGCGGAAAATCGCTACTGCGCGCTCAATATCAGTCCGATTTTCATGACACTTTCACCAAATGTTCTCCAGTGCATGCAAAATATGGTAAAGTTGTAAAATTAACAAACAATAAAATAATGTAAGAGTTATTCAGGAAAATCTTAAATCGCGGTACCTTTACGCTTTTGAGTTGTGCTCCTGCTGGTTTTAAGTTATATTTATGAAAATATCATTTTTATACAGTAAAATAGTTGTTCTAAAAAATTGTGTTCGAATTTTTTGTTTATTTTGTCATTCCGCTGATATGGCGATTTCTTTGACGACTGCAATATATTTCTGAATTGTTTGAGTGAATTGCTCTTTATTTTTAAACTATTCAAAATTAAAAAAAAGCCGAACACAATTTTGAAACTGACGTATTTGGCTATGTCCTGTGAAAATTTGAGAAAAATTGGTTAAAACCCGCAGGAGCATAACTCGTTTGAATATCAATAATTACCGTAAAATTTTTCGTGAGAAAATTGAATTTGAATATTACATTTTCAATGTTTTTCTTATTGCAGCGAAATGTATTTCATTACATAACTCTGCGAGTTTTCAACATATTTCGTTCAAACTTGGTCAGATAGTAGAACTAGTCTAATGCTTTCATTGAAACCAATAAAAAAATTTTAGACAAAATTAACACTCAAAGGTTTTCTGTAACCTTAACGTGCCTAAAAAACGATCCATGTTTATGAGTTCATTGGCGAAGTAATTTTACAGTAAACATTGTCTAAGCCTAGAAAATCAATGCTGAAGCTTATGTAAATTAGGACAAATCTTTATCAGAATCAGAATCAGTTTTATCCGATTTACAAACATTGATTAAACGTTCATTTTGTTTTATTCGAATTTTTGAATAAAAGATGTTGTTGTTGCTTGTTAGCTGTAATAAGTACTGGATAATATATGAGCAGCCGAACTTTATCTGATATCATTGTCAGAAACTCATTGCAGAAATCATTACCATACTGGGTAATGAATTCACATCACAGTAAAACGTTACCTATGTAAAAGTCATTCTCGTACCCAGAGCCCTTCTTACGCGCGGTGCGACGAGGCTCTGGCCAAAACCAAAACCGAATATCATGAAAACATGGTAAAAGAATATATCCGGTATTAGAACAATAACCTTCGTTGCAGCCAATCAGATGCCAGTTTGGATTTGGCCAGAGCACCTCATCGCGCTCCGTTGACCGCGCGTAAGAAGGGCTCTGGGTACGAGCATGTGTAAAAGTGTATAAATCACTGTAAAATTGGTTTGTTGTATTCTGTCTGTCGTGTGAAATAAAACTGTATAAAACCTATGTGAAGTTGAATTATTATATTATAAAGAATCGCAACCGCCGTAAACCCAACAAAATGAATATAACTGGATGCTACATCCGGAAATTTGAAGCCAAACTTAAAGGCCAGTCCCAGTCTTTTTGCGCGTGCAAATAATACGATAAATCCGTCAGTAGGAAAAGATAGGCAATTTATCTAAGGTACTTTTCCAGTTATATTCATAAACTGATAAAGCTATCCAGTATAAAGAAAGTCAGTTTAGTTTAGGTTTCTACCTGCAGGCTGCTCCATTTACTGTTCCAGAAAATAGAACATTTGGAACACTGTTCTGGAACGATATAAAATGGAGTGCACACGGTGTTCTGGAACAGTGTTGAGTTTATTATATATGCGTAAATGCATTACTATATTCATTAGTTATTCGCATAATACCTTTATTTATTTATTTACATGATTGCCTGTTATTTGTATACCTAAATATGCTTTTGCAACGTTTTTACTCGTTAATTTTCCCCAACCCTGGCGTACAAATACGATATAATAATTATATGTCGACATATAGCGGTTAACTCTTCAAAATAACGTCCTATGCAGTGTGCATTGGATACACAAAATATGTCACCTCCATTTCCAATCACGTGAAAATAGGCAGTATTTTCTGTTCTGGCTGTCCTCACTCGAAAATCGGGGTAATCAGAACAGTCATGTTCAGAACAGTCATTCCATTAGTGTTCCGAAAGTCCGGAGTTCTCCGAACAGTAAATGGAGCAGCTTGCTGTAGTAACACTTGGTAAAAACGTGATGACTCTTGGATAGCTCTATCAGTTATAAACTGTTCTCCCTTGCCAAATTTACCTGACAAATTGCTGTGTTTGGATGAGCCATATGCACTGATATAATCTCCTGCTGTAGTTTCTCTGCTGTGTTCATCAATATTTTGCATTTCTAAAATTTATAAAGCATAGTTTACTTTGTATTCATAGAATAGTTTGTGTACGAAATGAACCCATCTCATATATTTCGGGTTACCAACAATCCGATTTCAAACGATAAACACCATTTCCTACATCGCAGGGTTTTCTAGCGGTCTTTATACTCTAGCTAGCCGCGGGACATTATGGAATGAAGAGATCAGAAGAAGATGTGGGGTGGTAGACATTGCAGAAAAGGTGAGGGAAGCAAGGTTGAGATGGTATGGACACGTAATAAGAAGTGATAAAGGGAGCTGGTCGGAAACATTATGAAATGAAGAGATCAGAATATGTTGGGTGGTAGACATTGCAAAGAAGATAAGGGAAGCAAGGTTGAGATGTATGGACACGTAATAAGAAGAGATGAAGAAGAGCTGGTTAGAAACGTCATGGAATGAAGAGATGGAAAGAAGATGTGCTGTGGTAGACATTGCAGAGAAGGTGAGGGAAGCAAGGTTGAGATGGTATGGACACGTAATAAGATCGAAAAGATGAAAGAGAGCTGGTCACAGACATTATGGAATAAAGATCAGAAGAAATTATGGAGAGGTAGAAATTGCAGAGAAGGCGAGGAAAGCAAGGTTGACATGGTATGGACACGTAATAAAAGGAGATGAAGGAGAGCTGGTCAGAGACATTGGCCGTTTTTATACTAGAGACGCATAATGCGTCTGGACGCATAATCCGTCTTCTACATTATTCGTCTAGTATAAAGACGGGACAAAGAATACTAGACGAATAATGTAGAAGACGGATTATGCGTCCAGACGCATAATTCGTCTCTAGTATAAAAGCGGCCAATGCGACGAACTATCAACATTTATTGTTCGTCTGGTTATGCGTCCTCAGTATAAAGACGGGCACAAGACGCATTATGCGTCTAGACGAACTATCATCGGTTGTGCGTCTCTTAAGACGAAGAATCGAACATAGTTCGTCTAGACGCATAATGCGTCTTGTGGCCGTCTTTATACTAAGGACGCATAACCAGACGAACAACAAATGCTTGCCCAAGTTCGTCCAGACGCATAATGCGTCTCTAGTATAAAAACGGCCATTGTTGTGCATCTTTGACTTGACTTTATTGACTTGACTTTATTAAAAACGGTACTATTTCACCAAGATATTTACAAAAATTAAGACGGGTGATCTTCCAATAGGCCGTATATAGCTATACTAATTACACATATACTACAGTATCTAATAGTAATAACTAAATTACACACAAATTACACACTTACAGTTAGACTATTTTTAAATGTAGAGATACTTGTTTTAGCTTTTATGTCAGCAGACAGATTATTCCAAGTCTCAGCTCCTCGATAGGCGAAAGACTTTTTCATAAAATTAGTTTAGGTAATGCAAAATTGAATTCGCTCTGTCTTGTATTGTAATTATGTATTTCATTTGAGGTGATGAAAAGTTCCGTTAAGCAATTTGGTAACATGTTATGTTTGGCTTTGAACATTAGGACGGCTAAATGATGTTTTCTTCTAGTCACGAGATTTGGAAAACCGACCTTGTTCAAAACATCAATTGTACGTGTATCATAGTTTTCACGAGTTATTATTCGAAATGCTCTATTTTGAGCTTCTGGAGTTTATCAGATAGTACTTTACCCAGACAACCCCAAATCTGTGAGCAATAGTCGAAATGTGGTTGAATTATTGATAAATAAATTTTGATCAGTGTTTGGTAATCTAGAATGTCTCTCAATCTTTTAAGGATACTGAGACTATACCTTGCTATTTTTGAACGATTTGTTAAAAAACAGTATGCTTAATGATGCAGGTTAAATTAACAAACGCGCCGCATCTTTCGAAATATTTTGTTAAAAATAGCAAAGATACACAACAATTACTGATATTTCATTATATATGTATTCGAGTAGATGACGTCACATGGTTACAAACAAAATGAAATATCTCAAGAGCTAAGCATGGGAACAAAAATCTTCAAAACAAGTTATTATACAGTTTTACGAGCACTTTCGTTTAAGAAAATAAAAATCATACTGCCCCTTTAATCTATGAAATGTTCCCTTGATTTTTAGTTTTCATTATTCTTTCTTTTTTTCCGCCACAATCCATATATAACGAACTGCAGGTTAGTGCAGCTTTACGCCAAAACCTAGAGGGCTCGACGATGCATGATTTCGAATGGAGATAATCTGCAGGCAAACTAGTAAACATTCGAGAATTCAGCGTATAAAATTACAGCAAATTTTTAGACGTGTCAGCGAGAGGTCTTCTAGAACGATAGTGGTTTAATTGAATACTATCACGACCAACTCCAAAAACGGATAATAATGTCATTGCAGCCATACAATATTTCACTGTCATCATACAATATTTCACTGCCCTTGATTTCGATGACAGAATTTCGATAGATTAAGCTTTCAGAGTTACACAAACACGAACCATCAGACTAACATGTTGTTGAGCTTGTAGGCACACTGGCATCGTTTTTACAACCATCTTTCCCAACACGGAAGCTGTCTGTAATATTTCGATTGACCAAAACCACTTCACAACCAGTCATAATTATTTGCACGACAAACAATTAACCCACACTAACACCACTGTGTGTTTTAAAGACATATATACCAAATACCAGTGACAACATTGGAAATAAACACAAATACCTATAATGGATTAATGCATTCCGAGCGTTTTGTTTATGATACTGTAACATATATTTTTAAAGTCATTTAAATTTCTTATAAGCAAGACAGCATGATGTCTATATGTAACTACCATATCATAACCGCCAAAAAAGAGACTACACTTCAATTAAATGTCTGCGTGTTTTAAATATCAGTTCAGGTAGCTCAGACACAAACTACGGCAGCTTATTGTAGAATACTAGGCTACCTATACTGGACTACCACGTTTGAGATATCTTTTTCAGGTAGTTCAGACACAAACCACGGCAGCTTATTGTAGAGTAATCTCTTTTTAATGAAATTCAGATGTCATGCTGTTTTTCTTTAGGAAAAGGAATTCGAAATGCAAATGATTTTAAAAATATGTATAAATGTAAACAAAATAACTGCAAACATTGTAATGTGTTTAAAAAGAGTACTCAAAGAATTCGTGTTTATTTCCGAAGTCGTTACTAGTATTTGACAAATATGTCTTTAAAATGCCAAGTGGTGTTAGTGTGGCTTATTTGTTTGTCGTGCAAAGTGGTTGTAACTGGTTGTGAAGTGGTTTGGATCAATCGAAATGTTACAGATAGCTTCCGTGTTGGGAAAAATGGTTGTACGAATGATACAAGTGTTTGTAAAAGTAACGCAACATGTCAGTCTAATGGCTCGTGTTTGTGTAACCCTAAAAGACCAACCTATCGAAATCCTATCATCGTCAACGGCAGTAAAATAGTGCATGGTGACTCGTATGGCTGTATCGACAATGAAATTATCCGTTTTGGTGCTGGTAAGTGTTTTGTTGCATGCTTTATGTCAATCATGTCACCAGTTTGCTTACTATTTAGTTAGGTTATGATAAATTTCATCTCGACAGCACCATCATGTCTTAAAATTTCACAGTTCTTGTGCATCTTTGAATAACAATTCAAAATGAATATGCATCTTATATTATTTAGGAAGTTATTAAATGTTAGGGGACTTCAGGGGTTAAAGTTATTGGTTAGATGTAAAGGTGCTTAAACTGTCAGCTTGTCCTGGATTATATGAGATTGTTTAACAATATAAACTACACGAAGAAATGCAAAGATTAACGAGAGTAAGTGGAAACTTTGCGACAATAGCCTCAGCTTGGCCTACCCGCGAGAAACCCAATGTAAATATGATTAAGTTTCCGGGCGAGATAATCCAGTTACTAGGCAACCTATTGTGATATATTGACTAAATCGCAATCGAAATATCTTATGATGTATAGCCCAAATAGGTCTGCGATGAAAGTATAATGAGGGAATATATGCATATCAATTCCTTTCTATGTTTTAATTTCTGCTCAGACGAGGATGAGACTTGAGAAGCGAGAGTTTGCATGCGAGTTTTCTCAACTCTCATGCCCCGGCCAAACGAAAACAAGAGTTGCACAAGAGTTGAGTGGATATTACGACGCCTAGCTAAACTCTCATAAATTCTAATCAAAATTGAACCAGCTCAAAGTTGATGAGAATGCAGTCAAATATCAACTCTTGTCAACCGTCAGCCTCGTTTTAACTGGGCCCCACTGTCTGGACATTAATTAATCATCAGTCGGTTTTCTTTGATGTATACCGCGGGATGTATATACGGGTTATATCACTCGTGAAAAATTATCTGTAATATAAAATGGTGTGAAAATATATTTTCTTCTTCTATACATTACTGTTACATTATTACTCAGCTCACTCCCCATTGGGTGTTTTCAGAGACCGATTAATTACATCAAGAATTACGCTTGCTTATGTGATTAACTTAGCCTAGACCATTTATCTTTACAACAATTGTAATATTACTTCTTAACCGTATTTATCCTAACCCACCCTGTCAACTTGCCCTGTGGGAGGAAACCCGAGCGTCCGGAGAAAACCCACGACGTTCGGCAGAGCGTTCACCGACTCTTTTCACATAAGTCCATAGCGAGATTTTGTGCACTATAAGATACGTGTACGGATGTTGCCGCGAGAAACACTCAATTTATTCTAACATTTTGCGCCATTACAGGAAATGCAAGCACCGACTGTGCATTCGGACCTTTTCAAGTGATACCCTATAGCCACAATGAAGTAGCAACAAATTTCTGCTACGATGACAACCCCACATTGCTGAGATGTGCTTTACACAAAGCCTGGGTAAAGTTTCCAGACAACGCAACAGAAATGGAACTGCCATGGTTGAATGAATCTTACGTTCACTTGAACGGCTCAAACAAGACATTGCATTTCAAAGTAAGTTCAGGATATTCAACACATGCTTTTCTCTCTAAAACCACTTTGCCTATAAATAGTTATATTTTTCCTTGTCTAGTGGAAAAGATCAGTTCCAGAATTGCAAGGCACCATAATTACATTCAACCTCAACTGTTCCAACAGCTCAGGGTTTTACATATTAAGACCTTGCCTTCGAGCAAAGGTTCTTGGGAAATGGTCAGCAGGTAAATAATACGAGTTCATTCAAGCCAAGTTTGAATTTGCGCTACTCAACCTATTCCTCTTTTTAGCACCCAGCTTTATTTATCAATCCTTCTATATAATTAGCCTCCAATCTAGAAGCGCTTGAACAAAATAAGCCCCCGCTCTCTATTTAGCCCCTGTTCTCTATTAACCCGTTAAGTTGCATTAACCCTAATGCACACTACTTTATTATTTTACTCTGTCTAACGTGAGACAATTTTGCTTGTGAATTGGAGAGCGTTTGCACTCAATGGGTTAATCTCTCCATGTATCTAGTTCACCTGTTGCTCCCTAGTAAGCTCTCCTTTATTATTTTACTTTGTCTAATGCCAGACGATTTCACTCATCAAGGAGAAAGCGCTGCATGCATGGCGCTCAATGGGTTATTAAATTATTGTTGCTCACTCAAGTCAGATGCCAACAAAATCTTGATTAATTAAATCATTCTCAATTTGAACTTATACACGAGTAAAATATGAATACAAATACTCTAGCTATATAATGTTCATTAGTAAAGCTGGGTATATAACGCTCACTAATATGGAAAAATAATGGTAAATTGGACAAAAATTTCTCAAAAATGTTCCTCTTATAACCTTTGTTCTCTCGTTTAATGGTTTTGTAAATTTAAACGTGAAAATCTATGTACCCCCCTGCAGTCCCTATTTAGTCCCCACCCTTCTAATAAGCTCCTATAATCCAGAAGCATTAGAAAATAACAACCCAAGGGCCTAAATAGAGGAAATACGGCATTCGAACATGAATTTGTTGCATGGCTTACAAATGAAACAATCGAACTGGGATGTTAGTACTTGGACAGCGGCTAATTGTGCGCCTTTTATCTCACTCACATGCATGTGAGAAGGATTCAGTTCGCCTCTACAAAATTCCGCAGATTTTCTCCAGGTGATCCAAGGTGTTCTCCTGTAGTAACTAAACAGTTTAGAACTAATAACTGATATCCGACCTATCCAGTTAGCTTAGTGTAAGAGGAATGACTCTCACTGGACATCCAAGAAGAATAGTTTAAATTGGTTTGGAAGAAAATTGGTTTAGTTTAGCTTTCCTTCGGTACTAACATAGTAAAAATTGCACCAATAAAGGATTAAACAATATAGTTAACTGGGAATATATAAATGGTATCTCTATTTATAGATGATGCAAGTACAAGTGCAGCTGACCAGTCGCCTTCTGTAAAAATGAACTTCCCGCCAAAACTAACTTCGTCTGACCTAAGCCCAACATCATCCATTACTCTGGGTGCATTATCGAGCAGTGATGATGATCCCAGTTCGACAATACTTGTTATAGCTATTGTGGTACCTGCAGTAGTGCTGATATTGTTGGTTGTTGTTGTCTGCTTCTGTTGCAAACGCAAGAGGAGGAATAGGTAAGATGTTTGGAAAAATTAATAAAATTTCTGTAGACTAATTGCACCTGCAGACCAATAGCAAATATTTGATTCTAAAGTGAATTCAACTAACTTCATTTGCACTGGATAGGCAGTGACGTAACTGGAGGGTGTTTGGGTGTCCAGAAGCGGCCACGTTAGTGTTGGGAAAGCATTAAGAATAGCTAATCAAGGTCGTGTACACGACTGCCAACTTTCAGACACATGCATTTTTGTGCAAACACTCGCTTGCTGACTTTCATCAACTCTCATTTGACTGTTGCTCATCCATTCAATACTTTAAACTTGCTATCATCTTGAGACAATTCTCAATCCTCAAATGAGTTTACTATTCTTACAGCAGCCAAAGAAATCCAAGTCGCAAAAGTTCCGAGAAAAAGAATGGTATGTAGAATTATAAAATGAGATGTATATAATGCGTGCTCTGATTGGTCGAAACCCGTGTTTGGATCAGGCCATCCAAACACGGAAGACTATCGTGTTGTTGTTATTTTATAAAACAATTACGCTATGGTTTCCGTATTTGGATGGCCTGATCCAAACACTTGAGAATGTTGCTCAGTTACGAAAAGCGCTCGAAATCACTCGCCTTCGAAAAGCGCTGAAAATCGCTCGCCTTCGGATCGCGATTTCGCGCGCTTTTCTTATAACTCTCGCAACATTCCTGCGTGTTTGGATCAGGCCATCCAAACACGGAGACCATAAAGTAATTGCATATAACAATGTGTAGCTTTACAGTACAATGTATCTTAAAATTAATAAATGCCTGGTAAAATACAATACAATGGAAACTTCGAAGAAACTCATATTTTTAATTCAACGTTTCGACTACTGTTGAGTGTTGAGTCATCATCAGGAATTATAATTAATTCCTGATGATGACTCAACAGTAGTTGTAACGTTGAATTAAAAATATGAATTTCGTCGGAGTTTCCATTGTATTATATTTTATTAGAACATTCAGTGGTTACCGAAAATAAACGACTGGTATATGTCAGTTTGACAAATCATTTCTGATTCAAAACTTCAAGAAAGTTCCTTCTTAAATGTGTATCATATTAAAACAATTATATTCGTTGAGAAAAATAAATTACTTAAATTTTGTTTAAATGAGTAGGATTTTGTATCAGATGTACTGTAGAAGCTTCTTCACGGTAGTAACTTATTTGTGTTTTATAAATAATTAACGCGAATTGCGATTTCAGAAACCTCAACTAGGAGACCGTTTCGACACACAGAAAGCAGCCTGCGAGGACCAAATGCTTACGTTGACTTGCCAGAAAGCGACACAACCGAGACATTTGGTGCTCACACAAACCTTGCTTGTCCAACGCCAGAGAAACAGAGCGTAATCGTAGAAGCTCACCCGTCTCATGGAACCGTTGACTTACAGAAAGGCAAAATCAATGAAGTGAACTTTTATTCAAACCCTGACTACGAACCGGAAGATATGGCTAAAATGGACGAGGTAAATGCAAGTACCTTCATATCTGACCCGGATTATGCAACCGTTGATATAAAACGAAAAAAAGTTGACGACAAGAATTCTTACCCCGAACCTGGCTATGAAACTCCTGATATTAAAAGAAAAGACGTTGACGCCAAGAATTCTTATTCAGACCGAGGAGTCAATAGAGCCACCTCTAAATCAAATCCTGATTATGCAACTGTTGATAACAAAAGAAAAAAAGTCGATGGCAATAATTCTTATGCGGACCCGGGTTATGCAACTCCTGATGTCAAAAGAAAAGACGTTGACGCCAAGAATTCTTACTCTGACCCTGGCTACGAATCCGCCGATATGAAAATGAAAGGAGTCAATGTTGCTACCTCTAAATCATTTCCTGATTATGCAACCGTTGATATCAAAAGAAAAGACGTCGGTGGCAAAAATGCTTATGCTGAATCTGCCTATGAATCTGCTCATCTCAAAAGCAAAGATGTCGATGGCGCAACATCTTCTACAAATAATAATTATGAAACCATCGCTGAAGCACTCAATAGCACTGTCAAAAACAAAGACGCCACAACTTATCAACAAAAGCTTGGATATGAAACGCCTGATATGAAAAGGGGGAACGTCAACGCAGCTTCTTCGGATTCTACTTATTCAACAATTGACAGGGATTCCACGAAAGTCGACGAGAATGCTGGTTATTCACCAGCCAATATTAAACGAATAGAAGTCAACGGAGACTTGTATGCCCTTCCCACTAAAAAGAAGTAAATGTGATTAAATACACACGTAAAAAATCTCACAACTTGTCAACAATGCTGTAGTATTAGGCTTGTAACAAGCTTGTCAACAATGCTGTTACCCTACGTACGAAGTTGCCACAAGGTTGTCACTCGTAACTTTTTTACAAATTGCTGTACTGCAGGACGATAACAAGTTGTTCGAAACAACTTGTAACAAGTCTGTTGAGCTCGTCAACAAGTTGTAAGAATGCTGTTATTTTATCAAGTTGTTACTCAATGTTGTCACTCGCAACTTGTTGACAAGACGATAATAAGTTGCTGGAATAGCTTGTAACAAGTCTGTTGAGCTCAACAACCTTGTAGCAAGTTTCCTACAAGTTGTTGACAACTTGTTAACAAGCTGGTTCGGAACAATCAGTGCAAACACTTGAGTTGTAACCTGTTGACAAGTTGCTAATGCAGCATTGTTACAAGTCTGCTGCAACTTGCATGTTTTACGTGTTTATGACAGATGAAAGGTCTACTACACACGTAAAAACGCACAAGTTGTTACAGGTCTGCAAACAAGTTGTTACAAATCTGTTCACAAGCTGTCGACAAGTTGTCTTCGCACTGCTTGTTCCCAGTTGTTGTAACAAGTTTTGAACACGCTGTTAACAACTTGCAACAAGCTCGAAGTCTAATACAGTCATGATATAACAAGAATGTTACAAGGTTGACGATACAAGGTTGTTACAATGTTGTTATACCATGACTGTATCGGACTTGTTGGAACAACCTTGTCACAAGTAGTGGTAATGTAATCAAGCTTGTTGCAAGTTGTTAACAGCTTGTTCCAAACTTGTTGACAACTTGGGACAAGCAGTGCGAACACAACTTGTTGACGGCTTGTTGGCAGACTTGCTACAAGATGTGAGATTTCTACGTGTGTACTATCAATTAAGTATCAACATACTCCCTTTAATAATATCAAAACTCAAAACGAAACTTTACTTCTTCTACAGCACAAAACTTCGGAACGGCTTTGACGCTGAACGAATAAGAACATAGAAAACTTGCTATGTAGGCTAATTAGCTCTTTCATGGCTTCCGTGTGCACTGTAAATCTAAAGGAGTTGAATATTCTGTCACAGAAAACATGACCGAATAACTCTTTTGGAGTTGATATTCAACTCCCTCATTTAAATTTACCATTTGGTGTCGGCAGGGAGCAACTGTTTAAGGGACCGGTCATTAATAATGGGAGGGGGCGGTGGGTGAGAAAAGGCGGCTTCAACTATTTTTGCCTGAATTGGGGGCGGCCTCAAACTGAAAAATATGTGACAATGGTTTGCCCACAATTATTAATACTTTCCTGCTCATTTTCAATCACTTGCCTTTATCGTATCCCACAAAGTTTTAGTACCTATAATAGTATAGTTTTCATAATTTATTGCGTATATGCAGTTCACCATAAACAGTGGCGTAACGTTATATCAGGGGGCCCCCGGTTTCGAAGGCCCCTTAGTAGAAGTGCCAAAGGCACGAGTCGAGCGCCGTATATGCACGGGTTTTCTAGGGGATCCAGGGCATGCTCATCCGGAAAATGTTTGAATCTAGACTCTCTGAAGTGCCATTTCCTGGACGAGAGATTTTACAGAATTCTGATGGTCAGAAAACGACATTGTAACAAGTCAGAGACTCTGGCCAATGTTTTTGCTCTATCGCCTAAGCCTGGGGGGCCACATTTGGCCCATTGGGGTTTGCGCCCCTGGGTTCTCCCGGTCTGAGCCCATAGTAGTTACGCCACTGACCATAGGAGTTGGAGTAAATAACAACCATTTTGAATACTGGTCCTCTAATTACAATAGGCTAATGGGACAAGTACTGGTGTAAGACATTGTGTACCTATTTTACATCAAAAAAATGTAACGAATTAAATGTTGGAATGGGAGAGGGAGTCCTAAATTTTTTAGATGAAGGTGCATGGGGACGTCTTGAAAATAAAGATCATGTGACCGGGGGCGGTTCTAAAAAATGTTCAATATTTGGTAATTATCACCTACCGCAACACCCCCCTCCCATTAGGGAGTTTAAGCTAAAGCTTCACGTTTCCGGGAACGGCAAACGGCAGGTTCGAACTTTCTTCGCAAAATTTTCGCTGAACGTTTTCGTTTCATATATTATTTCTTGCGTCTAAAGAATAATTATGTATTTCAGTTTTAAAACAGCACGTTCATTTACTAATACCGTAAAATTTTTCTCTACCTGGCGTTTGTCGTTTGACGTGCTGTTTTAAACTCTCTATTATTATAATGACCGGTCCCTAATTACTTTACGGTGAGTGAACCTTTTAAATCTCAAAAGCTTCATTGCTGCATGTAGTCCTTGCCGTTTGGGGGTCATTTACTCTAATTTTATTCAATCCTTTAACTTTCAAGTTGCATTGTAATGTTTGCCGAGGGGTCAACCTCGCTGGGACTTCGAGTTCGTTCGTTAGCCCCTCATCAAGTTACTCAAAATTTTTGTGATTACATTCACTCTATGTCATATATGACTGTACTCGTATGTTGCTTATAATTAACTTGATGAAAGTTTCTAAATAAATAAATAAATATAAATAAATAAAAAAAGTAAAAGTGGACATTATCGTAAGCTTTGTATTATTCGTCTAGCTATTATTGTTTCACATGATTTGGCGAGTCGTGCATTACAAACACACAGTACAACTACATATAAACTTTATAGTTTTGGGATAGCACGAATATCTCGGCTCGATAAATTCTACTGCAATGGACCTTTCACCTTTTGACTAAAATTTAGATATCAACAAGTCTAGACAAAAATTTTATCACAGCTTGAAAGAGCATCACAAAATTAGTAATATTCCAAAGTTTCATTGCGAAATGCTGTAAAATGCGGATAATATAGCCTTGCCAAGTTTGCCATTTTCAGTCATTTTGTATTACGCGCGGGAAATACATACCTCCTTCGGAAAAGGGGTATGTATTTCCCGTTTGTAATCTAAAATGACTGAAAATTGCAAACTTCGCAAGGCTATATTATCCGCATTTTACAACATTTCGCAACGAAACTTCGGAATATTACTAATTTTGTGATGCTCTTTCAAGCTGTGATGAAATTTTTGTCTAGACTTGTTGAAATCTAAATTTTAGTCAAAAGGTGAAAGGTCCATTAACTGACATTACCAAAACTAACAAAATAGTAATGCTAGAGACAAACTGATTCTGTTCGACTGAAATCATTACTGCGGTGGACATAAAAACGCGCAAGTTGTAACAGATCTGCCAAACAAGTTGCAACAAGGTTGCTGTCAAGCCGATATCAGGATGTGTTACCACACTGCTTGTACCCAGCCGTTGCAACAAGTCTGGAACAAGTCGTTATCAACTTGTTACACGGTTGATGACTGTAACAAACTTGCTATACAAGTTGTGTTCCAAGAAGACTATAAATACAAACTGTTCGTAAAAAGTTGCTACGAGCTTGTTGTCCTCAACTTGTTACGTGCAGACGATATCAGACTTGCTGGAACAACTTGTTGCGAGTCTGTTGGCCTACGGAAATAACGAAGGAAGTAGTAGAATAAATTATGTCCGCGATTTCTGGGCATGACGTAAAAAAATACGAAAGAATATGGTCCTTAGGTCCAGACACAAAATCGAAAAATCGCGTCTGGTGTGTCTGGGCTGGGAAGCGAGGCAAGAGCTAAATTAAGTCAGTTTTCAAATTACTAACCGTAAATGGTAAAGCTATTGTGCCCCTTGCTGTCTATTAGACGGCGTCTAGTCTGTCTAGCCTCTGTAATTCGGAGATGTTGATCTCTGTATTTATTTCAAAAATATTTGTACTTTTAGCCTTGCTGTAGATGGGAAGGGATACAAAACTCATAATTCGCACTAGCTGCCATGAGATAGCTGCCATGAGCTAGTAGCTATTAACAAGCTACGTTTTACTGTAGTAATCCACAGCAAAAATTCTAAACGTTTTTCAACATGACTGAAATCACAACTCTCTAGCTGACCGTAACTCTCCCTTTTATATAACTCGCCGTTTAGCCGCTGCCGACGGCAGATACTGAAATCCCACAAAGCCGGGCAAGCTAACTCATTATCTGAAGACAACAAATTTGTATGTATTAGCAAGGAAATACAAGCATATTTTCGAGAATTTACAGTTAGCCTGGCCACTAGTACGAACAAGACCTAAAACAAGCTGTAAGCCTTTGTATTTTGTCCGCGTTGCTTCCAACAAGAGGCTCAAAAGTTATACTAAATATAAATACCTTCATTCTTTGTCTTTGATATTTGTCTTCCAAACGTTTCAACAATTCGGTCCCATCTTTGCCGTTCGATTTATATTCCAAGTTCTGCATTTGAAGTTTTGTAAGTAAACGGTATGGGGTCTAATTTCAGTGAAATAAAGGCAAACTTAAACTGCATGCCAGCCTCCTCGTGGTTAAAGATTTAAAATATACTACAGTATAGTAAGCACGTTAACAGCACGTTCCCCAAGCATGAAATTCTTTTCTATTGTGTTTGTACCCTTGGGATCAATTAGTGCTGAATCATGCAAATTCTGAAAATTCTGATTTCAAACGCCTGGTTTGAAATCAATACAACAACGACAACGACAACGACAACGACAACGACAACGACAACACTAAAACCTGGTTCCCATATAGTAGTAATGATCGCAAAAATAGAGCCACGATCTTTCTCAACGGCCAGTTTATAATAGTTTATACCTGTAAACCACATTTAAATCATAAGTATTCTTTAGTTAACGTATAATCAACTCCGAGTATTTTCAGTTGTAAAATGTTGTATTTCGGCTGATGAGAAAGATCGTGACTCAATCTTTACGACCGTTACGACCATATGGAAACCAAGCTAAAGGGCTGCAGTTTTTTTGGGGACAATCTGTACAAGGACAGTGACCTTGTAAACACCTAAACTTCATTATCTCTGGGAGTTTAGTATGCATTGTGCACTTTGTACATACATACATACATACATAAATTTTATTTCAGTGTCCAGATTGTAATCAAGATTGTCATCGCTGGAAATTAATTATAATTGAAAGTTGAGACGACTTAGAAGTTAGTCAAATAGAATTGTCAAGTGGAATCGTTCGATTAAAAATGGTTCAACTTACTACAAAGTAAAGAGTTTTTACTGTTTACGCGCTACGTTGAATTAATCAGCACAATAATCATATTCATATGTTGAACGATACCAAAAACTTTGAAATAACTGCCCATGCACAAAATCCAATTCAATTGTATTTACGCACCCATGGGTTCAGTATAGGACTCGGGCATTCAAATTATAACAATAAGGTGGATTTGTAAAGTCACTTTTTTGAGACACCCTGTATAATTCTGTATGCGGCAGCCAAATAACAGATATGACTTTAAATGCATTGACATTTGCGTACTTATTTCAGTATAAAGGCACTACTTCCCTCTCTCCCGGAGAAAACACGCAGCCTGCGTACGGCCTTGTGTAGCCCCATATCACAGAGTACTTACATACAAAGGTCTCACTTTGGGTTAATTTAACGTAATGGATTTTTTCAGTCCGCCATGTTCTTAGCAAGTGCCCTAAAGAGAGGCCATCACCCCCCTGAAAACATATTGAAACTTAATGTTCCAGGGGGTGAATGCTTCTCTTTAGGGCACTTGCTAAGAACATGGCGGACTGAAAAAAAATTGGTAAAAACTACCTTACGGTTTTTCCGCAGAAGTGAGTCTTCTGTATGTACTTACTCTGTTGCCTTCAGCAGAAATACACTCCCACTTCCGGTGGAAGATTGTCGCCGTACAAGCGTCGATGAAACTAACAACATAATATTCAATATGAAATCAAATGTTTTTCCACGCAGATAATATATTTCGCTCAGTTTGGTAATACTACAATACAAGAGTGCAACAATGATATATTAATTATAAAGTCTATGTCCTATGAACTGTTTTCGATTTGAACTTTTCATATATCTCTATATATATACTGGTGCAAAAAAACAACAAAACTGAAATCAACTAAAAATGAAAGGATAACATAAATTATCTAAAAACGCCCAGAATATTTATTAGATTTTCGATAATTTGAAGAAGGGGGGGTGGGGGTGAGGGTTAGCTTTATTAGATAAAAAGTGTGTTTTAGATAGGGGCGTTTGCTCTTGCATACAATACAAAATTTCGTCAACATTTCCTAGAAGTTTTGCAGAACAAAAACAAAACTCTTCAACGTTCATAGCTGTTACACATTTACTATAAGAAACTTCTTAATTAAAAATTCTGCTAATCGCCCCCCCCCCCACGGGAAGGGGCGTTTATTAGAATAAGACAGACTTAATTGAGAAGGGCGGCTGCTGTATGATTCTGAGTTGACTTGGGCGTATGTTAATCTGTTAGAGGGTGGACGTTTGCTAAATAATTTACGTTAAGTCAATTGAACAAAGTTCAATCTAGTGCCAGTCCGCTAGTGGGTAGTGTAAATGCATCATAATGTGTACGTGGAACAATCTGAATCAATTATCTGGTCTACAGTATCTTAAATAACACCGAGGAGGAGGGCCTAGTTTGTAAACATAATACTGTCCACAATAGACAACTTGCATGTTAGACAAATTTTTTATCTAATCGATCTAGGCAAAAAAAAAGTAAATTCCCGTTAAGAACTTATTAAAATTAGTAAACTTGCAAAATTTGGTTGCGAAATGTTGTAAAGCTTGGAAAATATCGCCTTGCAAAGTTTGCATATTTTCAGTATATTTGTATTACGTGCGGAAATTGTTACCATTTTTGAGCCGAAAATGGTAACAATTTCCGCTCGTAATACAAATATACTGAAAATATGCAAACTTTGCAAGGCTATATTTTCCAAACTTTACAGAATTTCGCAGCCAAATTTTGCACTTTTACTAATTTCAGTATGTTCTTTTTAGCTGTGGTGTTTGATTCCCTTTTCTATGCTTAGATTAAAATTTTGTCTAACATGCAAGTTGTCCATTCACAACCTCGACGTTATTTGACCAGTTACAACAATAAATTTCCCATGTGTAACACACTTTCCTGGTCACGTTACCATCAGCAACTGTAGGGTGAGTACCATTCATCCAACCTGTGGCATGAGTTCCACATCTCCCCCAAGGTACACACGATGACACCATTTTAATCCCAGCTCCTCCTCCAAATCTGTACCATCCTGAAAGGCTGTCGTCACAACTGTAGTAGATGATTCCGCTAGTAGAGATTCAGCTAGCAGAAATTAAAGAAGCGTGCGCGATAGTCGTATCGTGTATCACTGGGTTTTACTAAGCGCCCAGAGCTAAGCGCCATTGTGGTCGGCAGGCCGTTATCAGAATGAGAAATTGGCATCTATACTTAAAGTAATTTTTTAGATGAACAGGCGTCACTTATTTTTGTAAATAACCTTTTGATGGACTTGACATCTTTGTTCAACATTACTTGGAAAACCGCGGTTTTCTGTATTACAGTGGCTGTAACGTGTTTATTTTATCGTAATTTGTTTGACATTCCGCGATCATTGGAACATGCATGACTGGATAGCGCCAGCTATGCGGACTATATGTGGTTCGTGTTGTACTGTACCAAGGGCCATTTTTGCGTGATTTCGTAAATAATGCTACTCGCTTTCCGCGGTCATTGGATCGTGTCTGGACTTTGGATTGGCGCTATGTTGTAAGTGTTGTGTCAAGGAGTAATTCTCGTAAATAATGTTACTCTGCTACTTGCAATCAGTCTGGGAAGTTGTCTATTGAAAAATTCATTGACTCGATCGGATCGAACTCGCATCTTTCCAGACTACCCATCGTTTCCAGACTACCCATCGAGCTATTGCGCATCGAAATATTTTCTTGACGACTATTAATTAATGAAAGTTTGTCTTGGAGGACACATCCTCATATCTCTGAGGTTGATTCTGAAATAGAAATGAAACACTGCACGTCTTCCAAGACAAACGTTAAGTCGTCGCGAAAATATTTCGTGCACTAATTCTGTGTTACAATACTAAATAGCTATTCAAATGGTGCAATTAAATACAGAAAGGTCTTTCTTTGCATGGAACTAATTCCCATGCATACTGCAGGATCTTTCAGCTCATAATTAGAGAACTTTAGTTTGACATTTACGGCTAACGCCAAACCGCTAACGATAATTGTGATTTAACTACGGCCTCGTAGAAATTTCACTATTTTGTTACATAATAAACATCCCGCACAAAGCTCGTGACATTTAACAATAATATCAGAAAATTAGTTAGCCACTACTAACATATTAGCCACACAGTGGCGGACAACCCCCCCCCCTCCCCACCCACACCCCCGATAAAAATAATTAAATTTTAAAAATTGCGCTGATCGACCAATTAATAATAATAATAATAATAATAATAATCCATTCTGACCTGACTCACGGATAGCATAGACTAACAAATCATAATGAAAGAATTAATCACAGTTAATAGAACACATGCATGGTTTGGAGACTCGATGAAAGTACAATATAACTCATTAACTATGTTGGTTTCGGTTTATGCAAGAATTTGGGCCTATTTCGTCACGTGTGTATTGTATTTTTTCTCGCACAACTAATAGCAATGTTTAAATTGAGCATGTGTTCAAGTTACGGATGGATAACTCAACCACAAACTTGTTATTGGTTATTTCAGCGAAAATACAATACACATGCACGTGACGAGATAGGACCAAATTCTTGCATAAAACTGGACAATAACATAGTTAATGAGTTATATTGTACTTGCATCGAGTCTCCAAACCATGTATTAAAATAACTGTGAATTAATGAAAAGGCCTATAACGAAAGAGATAGAGAATGCTCTGAAAATGCCATTTCTGAGTTACTGAATAGACTGAAAAAACCCTGAAATTTATTTCTCGATTACCAATACAAGGTTAATAATACTACTGCTAAATGTTTTCTATTTCATATCTTGTGTATGTTTTCGATATTGTGGATAATACCGGTACACGCTTTCCATGCAGTCATAATCCATACAGTCATAATCCATGCAGTCATAGCGCGGTAAACGCTTTCCATAATGTCATTCTAGAATTAGGGATTATATAAAGAAGCTATATGACTATATCTATGTCCTGATTACTTGTGCATGTTATATCAAGTGTTAAATGAAACAAAATACTGAATGTCGGAAGGTTTGGATTCTAGCGTAGATAGATTTGTCCACCAGGGTTGCCGACTCCTTTCTTGTGATTTTGATTATCTTTGCCACAAGGATCGTGTGTTGGGTAGTAACTACCTGTAGATCCATCAAAGAAATAATAATACGAGGAAGCATGGAGGGATGGCCCAGGAGCGTACCATTCTACTCTATACGGTGGCGCACCACTACAAGCTGTTGCCACGTTTTTTATGTTCTGGCAACTCATTGATCCCATTGTCTTTGTGACCATACTTCCACCATTTGGTTGACAAACAATCCAATCATTGATGTTTGACTTGATCATCAACTCCTTTCCAATGTTCTTCCAAAGATTCCAGTCTACAGCCCCAAAAGATGACTCATTGAATGGAGGAGTGGTTGAGATCGGGACATTGGCGCCACTGGCAGGCCAGTTTGGACGGGGGGTTACGGCATTGCTTGACAAACCAAAACTGTTGTAATTTGTAAAGGTGTAGCTGTAAACCAAGGTCCAGCCTCCCCCGTGAGTTTCCATGTCACAGTAAACTCGAATTATCTTATTGACTGCAGGCTGGATCCAGTAAGTTCCTGATACTGCGAGTACTCTTGCCGGGATATATTTACAAGACTTTCTTAAAGTGGCTGAAATTAACAAGTAAAATACAATAATAACTTTTAAAGTTTCTCTAAATCCCCAAGTGGGCCCCTCTCTATTAAGCTCCAATCCATTTTAAAAGAAGAAATTCATTAAGTCTTCTTTATTAATTAACACCCTGTCACATTTTGCCACTCCCAAGGTGCGAGAAATAAATCGTACCAGAGTTTCATGAGTCTATCGGACAGAATTTCCTGCATAATATACTGAATGTCATAAACATACTCGTTTATATTAATTCAGCATCGAACAATATAGTAGTTCTGCAAGTGCTATGTTAAGATGTGTTATTGTACACTCCGTAATATGTTAAGATGAAAATGTTCTAGAGTGCATGTATTATATAATTTCCATACCCAGCGCAAGCAGAGAGATGTTGTCTGGGTCTTGAACCCCGCGACCTTCGAATTACTAGATCGACGCTCTACCAACTGAGCTACACGGTCAGACGGATTTAAGACTGGAAGTTATGAAATATTTCATAATTGAATATTTCATAATTGAATATGGACATATGCATGTCCCCCAGCACGAATGCAACGTCTTGCCCGTGAAATCATAAAATCCAAAGAATTTTGGATCTCTCAAATTGCTCTCTCAAATTGTGCTTCAGGACCGGAGTTGTCTCAATCAATTGGAGGTACTCTCTCGTGTCGAGATTGCTTTCAACAAAGTTTGGACCCAAAACAACTGACCTCGTCAAACCAACCCACTAAATAAACAACAATCGCAAGAAAATGGTAAAGGTTATTCAATTGGTTTTAATAGGGCCTTTTCAGCCAATTCTCAGCGGTTCCAAAAATGTTTGTTTACGTTTAAACACAGTTATCTCAGTCAATATTGCATGAAAAGGTACAAGACATATATCAAAATTTAAGCTAAACATCGTGGAATATACGGTGACTTATTTAAGTGTAATAGCTCTTTTATTTTTTAAGTTATAGTAAATCAAACTGTCGTACTTTTTTTTGGCCCCACCCGGTATATGCGGAGCATTCATTATCTGAGGGGCAGAACTAAATAGATTTCAACAAATGAAATGGATCATTATGAAGATAGATTTTTACTTATCCCAGCATTCCCTGCATGGCAGACGACCCGCCTTTCGAGTAATCCTTCGTGGACACCGTCTGCACAGGACCCTAGTGTTTAAGTGAAGAGGCTGAGCTTGGGAGGAGGGGGGACTGTGGCATTTGCCGACAACATTTAAGTCGCTAATAAATAAATTTCGGAGTTTTTGTACTCTCTAATATAGTGGAAATTGTCAATTGAATAATATAATATTAGCATTTATAAATCAAAGGCCTTCGAGGCCGACTCACGGATGAGATCAAATTAATTAAAGGGGGATATGATTTACAGCAGTTTTTTACAAATGGGAACCGTGCAAGGGCAAGGACATTATTTGGTAAAACACGACATAATATAAAATGTTCCCGAAGATCTTACAGGTTTAAACAGTTTAATTGTAACGACATCCTCGATTTTAACAATAAGGGACCGGTCATTAATTATGGAAGGGGGGAGGGGAGGAAAAAAATAAGGGGGGCATATGTAGAAATGACTAGAAGGGGGGCTATTAAATTTTTTCAAGAAAATGACAGGGGGTGCTGCGATTAAGCTTGAAGGAATTTGCTTAATAACCTGGTATCCATTTGGTTGTAAATGTTGCAACTAAATCATGGTCACTGATGTGAAATAGTCTGGATTCATCTTGTCTTGTGTGTGCTGTATGCAAATCAGTCTTTACGGATTGCAGACTAGTTAAATTGACAATGTATTATTACATCAGCTCTTGATGTGGTTAAATACATTTAAATTAAGCAAGGTTAACGGCGTTTGTATTATGCAGGCCACATCCGCTGCGGGGAATCTGTGACGTCATATCGATCAAAGGGGGTTGTTTCATGCCTTGTGATCAGTGCTTCGGTCTGGGTATTCATTCTACCATGCATTTGCCTAGCTGCAGCAAGTTTTGCGCTTCGATACCTTTTCCCGACCCACCCACCCATGTTCATTCTAAAAGATTTTATCTGGTAGCTAGTATATGTCATTTTTATATAATTTTTAATCTCACATAAAATAGGATGTATAGACCACTATACACTGTCGCAGGTATGCCTTGGCAGAATTGTCATTGCTATCTCCTTTTGCTGCTAATTTTACTGATTGTTGCTCTCATTGTTGCCGCGCAGCTGCTATGGCAATACTTCGTACCATCAAGTCTAGTTGCAAACTTAAACATGGTTACGATCACCCAGACCAAATGGAAACCTGATTTTAGTGTTATATATAAAAATACTCCTCTTTTAATTACAATTTTCTGCTAATAAATATATATTTTTGGTAGACGTTAATATCTTGCCAGTTCCATATTCTTATTTAATAATTAATACTATAACGCCTGGGTATCCCCATTTGACGAGTAAAAATGAAAATGGGGGGGGGTCAAAGAAAAATATTCTAATATGCAGGGGGGGCATCATTAAATTTCTGCCATTTAGGGGGGGGGCTTTCAATTTTAAAAATTTAGAAAAGAAAAAATTCCCCTCCCCCTTTCATAAATAATGACCGGTCCCTAACCAATATCAACAGTCTTGAAAAAACAATCTGAATAGATTATTATAAAACTACACACTATCAAAGCAAATCTATATAAAAGTACAATAACCGTAGCTGTCAGGTGTGTATAGTGTTCAACAGAATAACTATAAGTATAAAGCTGTACCTAATACAGTCAGTATCAGTACATCCAATGACTGTGGCTTTCCGATATGTACAGTGTTAAACAGACTGACAATTTAAACATGATAACTATAATAAGTATAAAGCTGTCCCCAATGTAATATATCAAATGACCGTAGCTGTCCGATCTAGAGTGTTGAACAGGACAATTTAAACATGATAGCTATAAGTATAAAGCTGTAACCAATACAGTACATGCTGCATCAACGACCGTAGCTGTACGATGTACGATGTACAGTGTTGAACAGAAAAATTTAAACAGAACAACTATAAAACAGCACCCTTATTGATGCAACGGTACAGGTAGCTGTCCAATGGCAGTACAGTGTAAGTAAATCCAGGTGGTAATGCTGCCTCAGTGTCCAATGTTCTTTTTCTTTTTAGACCATTTATAATTGTTACCAAACTGTGAATAAACATAAATATCTACATTGAAAAGGGAATGGCTGCAAAAATTTCAATATCAGTCCCCCACACACCACTGTTCCTCATGTTGCTTGTGGCTAAATGATGATCTACTGAACTATTCATATATGGTCTAAGGACATGTTCTATACTGTTCATGTGATCCACTATTTTTTGTCTTAAAATCATGTGGTATGTTTGTCTACCGGTTAAAATATATGACAGTGCTCTAAATAAACAATTGCCATCCCCTGTAATCCGACAGAGTTTCGTTGGATTAACTAGTGGTTTTGATGTTGTTTCATTGCGTCTAAATATAAGTGGGACATTCATCAAAGAGCATAAGGACAGCTGAAATTCTCCTGATAGAGGATAAAAATGAAGCGATCTATCGATACACTGCTGAGACTCGTCCGTGCCAGCTGATACTAGGCTACAGTGCCAGCGCAGTCATGTGAAATATACAACGGCAAGTCGGCAACGTGACTTTAATACAAAGATTTTGTGTCGTGTTGCTTCGAATAAGACAAATATGTCCTTTGTATTCCGTGACAGCTAAAACATGAATTATTTAATTTAAATAACATGATTAAATTTGGTAAACAAAAAACTCTTTCAATCGACAGAAACTATGGAAACAGTGTTGAAACACAGCTGACAGAGGCGCTCGAAAGGCACCAGAAAATGTGAACACTTGTATATATATTGAACAAAATAGTGTTAATATTTCAGCTAAAAGGTAGATCAGTGTGTTAACAGCAGATCTGTTGGGTGAAGTAGAAAAACAGATAACAATTAAGTCAACTAACACTCACCTTTTAATTTAGTACACGCTTGTCAAAAAGTCAAAAGTTGAAAAGAACGTGAAGCGTGCTCCAGCCCAATTTTCGGTTCCAAAAGACCCGTTCGCAGGCAAACACTGCGCGCAAAGCAGGCTGGTCATTTCCCATTGTTTAACTGCCCCACTCAAGTAAACCACAAAGACTCACAGATGTTGCTTCGCAACATCCGTGAGTCAAACATGACCAAACGTTCCATCTGTATCTGATAATGCAAGGAGAACCGAAAGCGGGGCACAGTAAATCAAACACAGATTGGATATGATTCTATTGCTTAAAATACAAAGTATATGCCTCTAAGTGATCACGTTTACCAACTATTTCGGCGATGTGATTCCGTTTTGGCGATAAAAGCGAGCTGGCCTCATGAATTTTGTGTAAATTAATCGGGGCCGCGAAATCTCCATGCGTTTTAGTTACAGATATAGGACGATATA